TATCAGTTGAACACAATGTTTTATTGGTATATTTAAAATTTTAAAGCAATTTGGAAGCATACCAGTGCCTCAATCATTATAATAAAGTAAATTCTAAAATTTCCTAAGTGAAGTAAATTCTAAATGCTATATATAAATGAAATGCTGCTATCTATTGAGAGAGAGCATGCACACACAAGAAAGCAGCATTTCATTCTAATCATAGAAAAACATGGATTTTGTGGGGGGGTTTTAATCAGAGAATTTGGGATTTTTAAACAGAAAACTAGGATCCCATAAAATCAGGAAGACCAAAGCAAAATTGGAGTTGCAGCTAGCAAGGGACTTGAAGGATAACAAGAAGGGTTTCTACAAGTATGTCCAACAAAAGGAGGACCAAGGAAAGTGTGGGTCCTTTACTTTCCCTGATGGGAGAGACAATCTAGTGACAAAGGATACAGAAAAGGCTTAAGTACTTGTACCTTTTTTACTTCGGTCTTCACAGACTACTGCACCTGGCAGCACAGTTTGGGGAGAAGGTGGGCAGTCAAGAACAGGTTAGGGACTATTTAGAAAAGCTAGATGTGTACAAGTCCATGGGGCCAGACAGGATGCACCCAAAAGTGCTGAGGGAGTTGGCCAATGGGACTGCAGAGGCACTTGTTGGCCATAATCTTTGAAAACTCATGGAGATGGAGAGAGGTCCCAGACAATTGGAAAAGGGCAAATATAGTACCCCTCTTTAAGAAAGGGAAGCAGGGGGATCCAGAGAACTACAGACCAGTCAGTCTCACCTCAGTCCCTGGAAAAAATCATGAAGCAGGTCCTCAAGAAATCTATTTCTAAGCACTTGGAGAAGGTGGCGATTAGGAACAGTCAGCATGGATTCAACCAAAGGCAAGTCATGTCTGACCAACCTGATTGCCTTCTGTGATGAGATGACTGGCTCTGTGGATGCAAGACCAGTGTATGTGATGTACCTTGACCTTAGCAAGGCTTTTGACACTCCAGGTTGAGCCACTGGCTAGTTTCAAAGGTGGTCTGGCTTAGGTCTGACATGTTACCAGCAAATTACTGAAGCAGATGCTATATAGCATAGGTGGTAGTTTTCAGTTTATTTTCAGTATACATATCCACTTACCTACTGGTTACTAAGTAAAGAATTCCCAATATTGCAGACTTAATACAAAATCAGCCAGCTCTACCTTCTAGTTTCAAAAGTTCTTTACATATAATAAGAAAGTTCTGTATGTTTACAAAACAGTTATTTCTAGACATCATAAAACTACTACCAATGCTTTTTAAAAGTACCAGTTGATATAAGACACCATTTTAATAGCATTGCTACTCCCTGGGTAGTGCTCACTATATTACTAGACTAGCCCATGTGGTCAAGAAAAGGACTTACTTGCACAGGCAGGCATATAATTAAGATGTTTGTCTACTGCAACATCCAGAGATGGGTTTTTTTTTAAAAACATAGTCATCAGCTAAGAGCCTTTAGCATGGCTATAACTTACAACACTACCAGGAGTTTGATAATACCAACATTTCACATATAGATAAACCAAGGCAGAGGTTAGGAGACTTGTCCAAGACTATAGAGGATGTTATTACAAAGATAATATTAAGAACTTAGAGAAATGCCTGGATCACATTCCTGTGCTTGGACTGTACATCTTCTATATCAAATATTTACATATCTCCTTCCATTTGCAAAGTGCTGAAAATCAAGCTTTATAAAATTATGTCAAGGGGCTATTTTCACACTGACAGTAAAACATTCCAAAAAACAAATCAACATTACTGTTTACTTTTCAAATACAAACTATATTAATGCCTGTAAATTAGTAAATTATGCAGCTAAATCTGATCGGACTTCGCATTGTTTGTTTCTCCCTATTCCACACATTAACTTTGCATTATCTTGCCACTTGGGGAAGAGTCATTCAATTACCTGAGGACAGACCTGACCCTTCTGCTCAGAAAAGCCTCTAGATAGACTGTTTTACTCATTCACCCAATCTTGTCTACACTGCTCATTCTATATTTACAATTAAATGACATGCCCAAGAGTTTAGACATAGAAAGTATCCATACCTATATGGTGTAAGAATATTCAATGGAGGTGGTTTGTCACTCTGATTGTAAATGTCAGCCACTGGGTTAGGAATACTGTTCTTTGAAACCACCTGCTGGTCCTGTATTGTTGAACTTTTGAATGCTTTTTTCATATTGATATCCTGTAAAGATACTGTTGAAAAGAAAAAAAAAATTCTAAGAAAGAATTTGACATTATGACAGACTGAAAATCATCTCATTTTTAAATATTCAATTTTTCGGTAGTTAATTGGTGAAATTATTTTACCACATTTCTCAATATACATATACAGTAGCAAAATGGAGGTAATATTTATATGGTTTAACCTGTATAGAAAACTGCATATTTTAATCACACAGAAATATAGGAACTCTCTCACTAAATAAGGCCTGTGCACCTATGGTTCAGCATCTTACTTCCAATAGTAGCTCTAGATGCCTCAGAGGATGATGTAAGAACTAGACAGGTATGGAATAGCCTGCCAATTCTGCATTGGGTCTCCTCCTGACCTCTAACTGTTAAAGACTGGCTTTAGTGAAACATATGGTTAACATCCCTTCCACAAATTATTATTAAATAATTTTGTAAACAACTTTGTAATACCCATGTCCAATTCCTTTCTGAATCTTATTATATATAGTCTTGGCCTCAATGACCTTTGCGTAACAGTGAGTTCCACAGTGTAAATTATGCTATTGCTTTTTAACATTTTTATATTTCTTTCAACATCTCCTTGGTCCTACATACAGAGACTGGTAGAAAACAAGTCCCCATTTACTAGTCTCCTCCTGTTAAATATGTTTCTGTCAAGTTCCCTCTTTTCTCTTTCCTCCTCCCATGTTTTCAATCTCTTTTCACATCAAAAGGTTTCCATACCCTTAATTATTCTTGGCATCCTTCTCTGAACCCCTCAGGTTCTGAAATATCCTCTTTGAGATGAAGTGACCATATTGAACACAAAATTTCAGATGAGGCCACTCCAACAAACACACTGCAACATTATCCTTCTTGTTCTCTATCCCATTCTTTAGGCAACCTAATTTAATTTAGCATTTTCAACCACAGTAGCACAGTGAGCAGCAATCTTCCTTGAGCTACCTTTGGTGATACCACCAACTATCTTCCTTAAATTGATACAATTGATAACTTTGTAGGAAATCAGCAGTTTAGATGTTTTCCTCCAATATGCACTGCTTTTCATTCATTGACATTTAAAATTTAACCATTCACTTAGCTTGTTTAGGTCACACTGAATCCTTGAAGTTCACTTTAGTCCCAACACAAATAATTGTTTTCTGAGAATTTTGTTTCCTCGCTACTCATCTTAGCTTTCCAGATCATTTAATTTATTAAACATGAACTCTAATGCAGAGCTGTGAGCCGACCTGCAGTTGATCCTTCTATCATGATGAAAGACCTTACCTCCTAATCCTACTCTGTTGTTTTTTTCTTTTGTCTCTCAACTATTTTTCCATCCACAACCACTCACTCCATGACTACTTAACTTCTCAAGCAGTCTTTAAACAGATGGAGGACTTAGGAACTATACTTGCAATTTCAAGCCCTCTTTCACCTGACCAGCACATGTGGGATATACAAACATTTGGTTCTTGACTATCAATTCCTTTTTTTTTTTCAAAACCTATTTGCACATGAAATGCTGTGATGAGAATTACAGATGGTTATTTCTATTGTACACACAAGGCTATATTTTAATTTTAAACCACAATTTTCAAAAGCACACAGAGGTGACGTAGGTGTTTAAGTCTCACTGAAAGTCAAGACATATGGACTTTTGAAAATTTTATCCTGAATGATAGTCTCTCCTATTCACTACAGTATTTTCAGCTACAACATTAAAATGAAAAATGAAACTTTCCAGAAAATGTAAAAGCATTTCCTCTGCTATTAAAGTTAAAGTTAATGAGAATAAAATGCTGTTTTTAAAAGTGATTAGTAATTGATTTTACTGAAATGAGCTTTAGGGAGCCAGAAATATACATTTACTTTTAGTGTCAATCATCTATCCCAATGCCATGTGGGTTACTGCACAAAATCAATTCTCAGAACCAAGGAGTTAATTGAAGCTTCCTACTGAGACTCAAATGGTATTAAAATAATGTGTGTACTGTTTATTAACTTGAATAGTTATTAGCAACATAGAGAAGCTACAGAGAAGATTCTGACAGAAGCCTTCTACAACCCTTGTACCTAGTCAGTTAAAGCAGACTGGCTCCACCTTCTAAAAACAGAAGATAAACTGTCCTTAGTGGCTTTCTAAAGCTCTGGGGGGCAAGCAGGAAATTATTTCATGATGGAACAGATGGACTGATGAATTTAACTGAAAGTTTTGTGGGAAGAGAGAGGGGTGAGGGAGTTTAGTGAATGTAATGCTCTCAAAACATTTGAAGTAAGAAGTCCTGGAAATGGAAGTCTTCAAACTTATGCAGAAAAAGTTCAGTGTGGAAATCAACAGCAACAGTTTGCTCAAATTACTACTATATACAATGTGCTTGAATTCTAACATGCAGAGGCTCACTCTAAAACAGCTTAGTTTCTGTGCCCATTTAGTTCTTAGCCTCTATACTAAAGGCTGATACAGATTAACTAGTAATTGGACTAAGATTAGAAAAAAGCTTTCTTTACTAAGGGTGTCATACTCGCTCTGCCCTGCCTGGCAGCAGACTCCTTCCAGGTCAGACCATAGGACTTGCTCACTCACTGCACGTCAGATCAAAACACAGCAGTGGAGCAAGTGGTTGCAGTGGTGGGTTAACACAGCCATTGCTTGTCCCCCCCACCGACATGAATACCCATCAGGGTTCCATGCCCTAAATTTTGGCAGCAGGCCCTGCCCCTGAATGCCCTGCCCTTCAGGCCACCTGAAACAGCTCTGTGGGCCAAAGCCAGCCCACATGCCAGAAATCTGACACCCATTCCATACAATAGGAAAGAGCCAATCAGCCTGTAGTCACTAATAACCAGCATGTGAAAAGCTTTATATCATCTTTGCAATTCCCTGAATTCTCTAAAAAAATTTAATTATTTTTAATTGTATGTTAAAATCAACTAATCTTAATTTCCAGGAAGATATAAGAGGACAATTATATTAGGTGGCCATACCCTCGCAATAAAGGATCATGTTCAGCAGCTATTTCAAACTCATATAACAGCTACAATTAAAAGTAGGCATATACATACATCCATTTGCAAGCACAGATAATGAGAATTTAGAAGAGATGGGTTACATCAGGGCTGTGCAGCTTCTGAAAGGCCAGGGGCTGCATGTCATACCAGTTACAGGCCCTGGGCTAGACACTGAGTGGGTTCCCCAGGACTTCAGCCATATGGAAAGCACAACCCTCCAGCAGCTCATGAGGGCAGTGCAAGGCCTCCCCCCTCCATGTGACTACTGTGCAGCCAGTGTGAACACCCCCCCTTGCCACTGTGTGGACAGCAGTCTCACTAGACCCTTACCCCCTGTGCTGCTCTGCCCCAGAGATCCCCAGCCACCACAGCAACAGGAGCTATACGGAGAGCAACAGTTGGGCAAGAGCCTGCAGACTGAATGTTAATCTCTTGCAGGCTCGGGGTGGCCCACACACCACCAGTTGGAAAGCCCTGGGCTATGTAATCCATTTAAGGAGTTAGGAGCCTCTAACACCAGACTGTTGGGTGCTAGTTGATTAAGCTGTTTCACAGACATGGCCTGTGCCAGAACTGTTGGGTGCTAGTTGATTAAGCTGTTTCACAGACATGGCCTGTCCCAGAATACTTTCACTGAAAAAAACCACAGGACTGATTTCTATTTCACACTGGATTCTTCTGGGAAGTCTACTTAAGTATGACAGGGTCTTAATTCATATAAGAGATGCACTTGATTCCTAAAAGCAAGGATTTGATTACAGCTGTGCATTTCTTTGATTCTTAAATTCACAATACAGATTATCATCTATCACTATTATCATAGCATATATTATTGCTTTGGCTATTCATTCTGGCTTCAAACACATGATCGAATGATCTGACAGAATTCTCTCAGATTTGTTTTTTTTGGTAGAAAAAATTTACCCAGAGATGCCTGAACAGATATTTGAATGCTAAGCCCCTGAAGAGCAAAATACTTGGAGTGATAATGCCGTACCGCCAGAGGGCACCTGTACACACATCTCGGTGCACTCTGCAGGCTCCTTCGGTCTGCCTGGAGACAGATGGCAACAGTGCACAGGGCAGCCCTGACAGACTGACCCAGAATATTTAGGGTCAGCCTGTGTCTCCCTGCAGCACATGGGGACTATGAAGGGGACATGTTCTGCTCCCTGCCTGACCAGCAAGTGACACAGTCTCCCAAGGGGACAGAAAAAGTACCCTGGGATGCTAGAGGATTCTGCTATGGCTTCTCTCAAAAGAGCATGTTTCTCCCAGTAAACTCTTCCAGGAATGATTAAACCCTGGTTGTTCCTGGGTTATTTTTCTCCCAGAGCAGCCATTTTTGATGTGGGAGAAAAAATCCTGAACATTTGGATTTTAGTAGGAGAGCAGTGACTCTCCCAGGAAAAACTGAACATCCATGTGCAGCCTTTACAGCATATGTGTACATGCCTTAAAATAAAAAAAAGTAAGAACGTGACAGGTTACGATCCAAGTAAGCAGTTTCTTGTGACTTGAACCTTACATGATATCAGCTTGTCAGAAGGTAAATATAAAACAAATGCATACAAGAACCATTTAGAGCAAGGATGCTCAAACCTCCAGCCTGTGGCCTGCACAGTCATCACATCTGGCCCATGGGGCTCCCCATAAGTCAGGAAATTTGGCAGCAAGGGAGCAGTGGCCATTAATATGGCCACCCTCCCCCTGCCAAATCCCCAAACCCAAAACGCTCAGTCAGGGCCAGGCCAGACTGCTACCCCTTCCCCAGCAGGGCTGGGCTACACCCCCCTGCTCCTGGATTGGGGCTGCATATGCTCCCTTCCATCCCAATGGGGCCAGGGTGGGCTGAGCTAGGCCATGCCCCCTTCCCCCACCCCACTCCACCCCCGCTGAGCTAACCTATGTCCCCTTCCCTCTTTGTAGGGCCAGGTTGGGGCCTGGCTATGCACCCTTCCCTCTTCAAAGTGCCATGTCAAGCTCCTTTCTCCTGCAGGGCTGCATTGGAGCCAGCCTTCCCCCTGCCCCTCCTCCACACAGCCAGATGATGCCCACCATGCCTGCCCAGGCACCAGATTGGGAACAGCAGCTGGAAGCAACCTGCGGATGGACCGGGTGCTGCCAATCTGGTCCACTGGGCAAAAACGTTGAGCACCATGATCTAGAGCTAGTCATATTCAAGATGCATTGCACGTAAACGCTGATTTTCACCAAAACTCTGAAAATAATAAAATTAATTCAATATAATACCCCCTAAAGCTAATTATTAAGTCAAGGATGTAGTTCAAGAATATTTCCTTCACGTTACCCTAATTTGATTTTTTTCCCCCAACAAGAAAAATGAGATGAAATATCAACTCAGTACTGCTCTGAAAGAAAAAGCTGTGATTGTTAGGTAATTAATTACTGTAGTCTTGTCAACATCACTTCTGGCTCAGTACTTTCATGCAATTACCTACCCTCTTCTACTGTTGAATCCAGCTGGGTAACTTTGACAGCAAGGCGATCAATTCTGTCTTGAAGGGAATTTGCTCTAATGTAGAAGTTGTTGGCCTCATTAAACAATTCACCAAATATATCTTCAGCATGTTTGCCTGTAGAGGAAAAAACAGAGAGAAAAACATGTGTTAAAGATTTATAAGACACAGTGAACAGTGCTTCAATAGCATGATATTATAATAAAGCACTCGAGTCACTGAATTACAGTATGCTACAGCTGCACAGGACACATTAGAAGTTAAGTGCAATGTATTACATCCAAAATATCTATTGTTAAGTGCTATGCAGAAGTTTCACAGAAGTTTAGGGCTGGAAGGGACCTCATGAGATCATCAGATCCAGTCCCTCTGCTCTGGGCAGGAAAGACTGCTGGGGTCAAATAACCCCAGCAACGTATGCATCCAGTCTCCTGCAAAATCAGGAAGACTAATATCAATACAAACATCCCCTAAACTTTGACTCAAAGCTTGATCAACCTGAGCACTTTTCTGTTTAAAAACAGAGATACTCAAATTTTACCCTTAAACAGCTAAGATATTAACAAGAACATGTTAAGTGGTTAATAAAGTCAGCTTCTGTGATAAAAACTTAAGGATAGTCCATGTTACTTTTTTTTTTTTTTAAAGTAGATTCCCACAGTCAATCCAAGGAATTTCAGAACATAAACCACAATAGGCTTGGTGGGTTTTTTTAAAATCAATCATCTAAAATAAAGTGAATAGCAGAAAAGTGGCAGAATTATGTTAAAGTTAAGTTGAGCCCTTTAAACAGCTGTAATGCTTCATTAGCGAACTACAGATGTTCGGAAAGTATCCCTTAGGCCTTGGACAGACATTATATTTGTATTGCTATGTAAGACCTTGTAGCAGTACAGAAAGTAAGTATACAAAGGTATACCTTGCTCCCCCCCCCTTCTCCCCCGCCATTTGTAGCAGTAGCAGGGATCGAGAATCACAGAGTGGCTTTGAATTCTGCACGTGTTCTTTTATCTTCCTCTCAAGCACCGGATATTACCCACAAACAATACTGGGTTTTTGACTGGGATGCACTAGTACTTGCATGGGTATTCAAAAACTGCATAAAATTTCTGACAAAAAATCTTGCTCTTTTACTCAAGGTGATACCAGGTGACAAATTTGGGGTCAGGAAACAATCTTCCCCACAAATCAAGCAGGCAACGAATGGGGAGTGCAGGGGAGAGAGTTCCTTCAAATGAAGTGTGGGGATGGCCGTCTTCCTGGGATTATCTGAATACATATTTATTAACCATCTACTGTACTTCTCTTTTATTACAGTACCAGAACATGGCTAGTGTCCAGTCCCCCTGCTTTTACCTGTGGCCTGCTGTAGGATGTTCTTCAGGTTTCTGATTCTGTGCCTTATAACCGAGTTGTGTGAGGATTAAGTGGAAAATCTAAGATCATCTGGGTTAATGTGGAAACTTTAAGAATTTAAGGGTAAATGGTTTTCTCTGAAAGCCTGGGGACTGAACTGATGACCCAGAGAGGCCATTTCTGCCCCTACATTCCTATGAATTTTGTAGAAATTAACTCAATGACAGAATGTTCTCCAGAACCCTTCTCAAACCTGTCGCTGGAATTTAAGATTCCTTCTGATGTGTCTAGGTCAGAAGCTAGTCTGCAAAGTTCTTCAAGAAGAAAACAACAGTATGCATGTGTAGGTGTCAGTCTCAGTTTTCTTAGAGAAGGCAGAAAAGATTATAATAGATTGCTTCATAAATTATTTCCTTTTTTTAATGATGAATAAAGATTTTCTACTGTACTTTCTACTCTAAAATTCATGGGGGATAGATGATTAGCGAGTAGTAAAAAAACTATAGAAGCTACCTACAGTTGTGAGGATTATAGCTTCATATTAAAAGCCAGTTGACTGTGGTTTTTAAAGAGAGCTATTTACAACCAGCATGTGGAAAAGATTAAATATTTATTTCCAAAAAGAGAAAAAAATACTTAATTCCCAAAGAATAACATGAAATGTAGGCTGTAATGGACTATGTGGTTTACTGTAATATTTCTGTGTTAACTGGGCTCATGTTGTAATTACACTGAATGCCTCAGTTTCCTTCTAGCTAACTAATATGAAGGGAAGAAGGGAGAAAATGGGTTAGAGAGAAAATAAAGCCAGTTTTCAGCCCATATGATAGAAGACACATCCATCTACAGAAAACTAAATGGATAAGATAAGCATAAGAATGAAGGGGAAAGTGTGACCAAGCGAGCGTATGGCTGAGGAGAGGGGTCTGGCACAGCTTTGTGGCTGCAAATTAAACAGTGGAGCAGTCTTTCAGGGTGTTCTGGGCTGTGTGAGCTGGACCGGGGACAGAGGAACTGCTTAACCCTTTGAAAGGAGGCAGAGCACTTCTGGCTTACTGGCTCTGCCCCAATAAATACCTTTATTGAAAAAGTGGTCTGTTTACTCTTTGAAACGTCAGTCTGCACTTGTTCTCCCCAGCAAGAGAAAATCCTGCTCTTGAAAACAGAAGCTCCCCGACTCACAGAGAATCAGGAAGGGTGAAGGTGAGGGACTTAAAGATCAGGTTCACAGGGTAGAAAGGAACAGAGTCACCTATCCCCCCTCCCCACCCCTCACTCTACAAGCCACACCTCAACAGGCACTGAGAAACCAGACAAGACCACCCACCAGGGTGAAAAAAACATTTTTTTTTAAATCTATAATTGTAAAATGTCCTCTCTTCACAAAATCTCTTCTGTCTCCTTATAATAGCTGTGATGTCATATACAAAGAAGTGCTTCTTCTCAGCACTTGTAAGAATCATTCTTCATAATACTCTAGAAGATAAAGTGCCTTAGAAGATACATTTTGAATAATTTTGAGAAATTATTCTGGAGACCAGTGCTTAACAACCAACAAGAATCATGAAATGTCTCTCAAAGTTCTACAGTATACTATTTGTGGGGCATTTGCCTGTAAAGTCTTCATGAATCTCTGGCTGATTTCTACTAGCTAGCTCTGTAAAAATCAACTGCAATTAATTAATTCTCTACAAAAGTCTGTATTAACATATTGAATAAGATGCCCCTGCAGCTATCTTCTGTAAGTAATGAAAACGATTAGTGCTATAACAAAAAAGAAACAAACCAATGATGCCTAAACCTATCAGTATTATGTAAGCTATCTTCTTTTAGTAATGAAAATACTTGAGATTTAAAAGAATAGTGTGTCTTCCTTGTGCTTCAGATTACAAATATACTACTAGAATAAAGACAACCCCAATAAGCCATTCAAGTTAATAAGAGGTCTTCATGGTTTAGGAAGACAGTTTAGGATGTTTTCGACACAAAAGGCACATTTGAAGGCTTTGCTATTTAGGCTTCAAAAATAAAATCAACAGCATCTTATTCTTTCTTCCCATGAACAAATATGAAGTCAGAGACGAAAAGAATCAATTCTTCCCTATGCTCCTTTCTTGGTTCTGTCGTAAAAGAAACATATGAACTGATAGCTGTACTGCTGAGGCAAAAGAAAGTTTCTTCTCTGTCAAATCAGTGAAATTTTTCAGTTCCTGGTCAGATCTCTCACCACTTTAGCTTCTTTTGCCACTTTGGCTGGCAGCTGTTCCACCCTCTGAAGCAGCAGCATCTGCTATATAGAAAGACACGAACATGAATTTAACTGAAAAGAGTTTTCGTGCATGAAAGCCAAAGCTACCACGAAGCTATCAGTTCACTGACTGAAGAAAAAAGTTTTTACTTAAAATGTACAAGTAACAAAACCACTGTTAGAAGGAAACATTATAGTCCACCAGATAAGAAAAAGGCACCTGGCCTAGGGTCTTTCTGTTATTATACAGAACTTTACTAGCTTGTGGCAATTAATTTTTCTACCTCTGAGAAATTAAACAAGCAGCAAACAGGTAAGAAGGAGGATGCAAAAAGGGGGATAAAGCTGGTTTCAAAATCTCCATGGCTCTGTCAAAATTTGCCATTTTGAAGATGCAGCTTGTGAGTACGATATACTATAAACAAACATAGATGAACTTTGCTAGCAGTGCTGGCTTTGGAAAGTCTTATTCAAAACTATCATTTTTCACAGCCTGGAACCAAGGGAAAGATGTTTTCTTTTTGATTGCAATCAAAGAGAAAAACTTCCAATTTAGAAGAACAGCCTACCCTCCTTCAAGGAAGTCAAACTGAAGAAAGAAAAAAACTTTTTGCTCTTATTCTATAAAATAGTCATTTTCTGGCACCTGAGACCCTGAACACCTCTTAGACTTCCTTGCCAAAATTACATACCTTTCACTACATTAACTGACCACAGTGTGAAAGAACACAGTAAAATATCCAGAATACATAACATGGTTCTTCCAATAAATTTTTAAACAATCTATACCATCAGGTTGAAAGGTGCTAATGGATGTGATTAGTTTGTAACTGTCTCAGATGTTGTCAAATAGTCATCATTTTGAAGTTATCTTGCAAGGGCCCTGAAGGATAAAAGAGGAAGTTCACATTGCAGAGGCAATGATGTGTGGTTATTGATCATCTAAGCTGAGCTCTGTAACCAGCTTCAATGCTTCCCAAAAAGCAGGTGTATAAATGTGCACCCACCCCTCTACCACTGCTGCACCATGATTCTTTGTTTAGTGGCAGACAGACAAAGAATCCTTTTTCTATACTGTGATCTTTTAGCAGAAGTAATGGATCAGTATCCTCTTTAGATAAAAAGCTTTGATGCAGCAATGAAGAGGCTGCAGAACCACAAAGGGATGGTCTCCTCCTTGAGCTAAAGAAGTAGCCATTGGTGCTTTGGGTCCGATCCTCCCTATAAGGTCTTGCCCCTTTTATTATTAAAATACCTGAATATTGAAGGGCTGGTGTTCAATTATGTATATGAAATTCCAACACAACGCCCGGTGGATCTGAGCCAAAAATACCAGTATCTCTCAAGCCTGCGAGAAGTCATAGGTCTAGCAGAAGAGAACAAATATATGCTGCTCAAATCAATGCCTAAATTCTTTGCAGCTGCTCTCTGTTCTTCAGGGAATGAGTCCAACTGGGCTTAATGGGTCACCAAAGTGAAGTGCTGTAATGAACACAACAGCTGAGCAAAGATT